AAGGCACAATGGTGAAGTTGCCTTGCTAAAGTTCATCAGATCTAGGTCTTCTGCTGAAATACAGGTGAGAAACAGACTGAAGATCTGTGGCTTCATTGGTGCAGATAGGTCTTTCACTGATGTAGATCACAACTGTGCCACTCTAGGTTCCCACCAGTGTGTTGTTCATAGTTGCTGTAACCAATTCATCACCTGATAGCCAATCCTCTGGCAATGAGAGTTTTTTTTACTAAATTGATCATCATAAAGCAGACATGCAGATTGCCAGTGGTACTGCACATGAAGTCTTACCAGCTTGGTAGAATCTACCCAAGCTTTCAGAACTCCAGGATGACCTCCACATTGTGATGAGACAAGATAGCGGGGTAAAATTTTATGGAGAAAAGGTATAGAGATGACTGCGCACACATATCGAAATATAATTTCAACAATAGATGGAACTCATTCACACTTTTGACCAGGGGTAGGCAACCTTTCCCCTTTAAGGGCCGAGGGACTTCAGCTCCCAGAAGCCTCAGCATGTTAGCCAATAGTCCCATGTTGGCCAATACCTCCTGGGATTCTGGGAGCTGTAGTCCCTCGGCCCTTAAAGGAGAAAGGTTGCCTACCCCTGCTTTTGACATTCTGGTGCTTGTTCTGAAAGATTTGGGCAAAGGGTTTGAAGTACCTCGTGTTGGCAACCAGGTATTGCAAGGTAGAATCCACTGTGGTCTGGCTTCATCCATGTTGAGAGAGGGGCAACCACAATGGTGAAATGTCTGGAAACTAAGCCCTATGAGGCCTTGGTTAGTCTTAGGGAGCTGGGTTTGTTTAGCCTGGAGAAGAGAAGGTTAAGGGATGACATGATGGCCATGTTTAAATATTTGAAAGGGTGTCGTATTGAAGATGGAGCAAGCTTGTCTGCTACCCCAGAGACTAGGATACAGAGCAATGTATTCAAGCTACAAGAAAAGAGATTCCACCTAAACATCAGGAAGAACTTCCTGATGGTAAGAGTTGTTCAGTAGTGGAATACACTGCCTCAGAGTGTGGTGGAGTCTCCTTCTTTAGAGGTTTTTAAACAGAGGATGGAAAGCCATCTCTCAGGGGTGCTTTGATTGTGTCTTCCTGCCTGACAGAATCAGGTTGAACTGGATGGCCCTTGAGATCTTTTCTAACTATATAATTCTGTGACTCAATCCACACTGAATTGTACCAGTGCTTTAGGACAGCCTGCATATTTCAGAAGAATGCATGGGTTTTGTGTGTGTGTGTGTGTGTGTGTGTGTGTGTGGTTTGTTTGTTTGTTTGTTTGTTTGCTGTATTCATAGCATTTCCCCATTTTCATAGTCTTGCAGCTTGCCACTGGACAAATCCTGGAAGGATGACATGCAGCCAAGTCAACTAGGCATATATCTTATTTTATATGTTTGTTTTAGAAAGACTGGAGGATACAAAATTTTGGCAGGAAAAACCATCCTGTCTGCCTGTCAACAGAAAGAAGATTTGTAATCTTGGTGGGCATAATTCACGGGGATGTTCTTTGGTACAAGCTTCTGTGAAGATTGTAATTCATTCATTCGTTCATTCATTTATAGAGTGTGGTAGTTAGCATCCCCCTCTTTCAGTTTGCGGTTTGCAGAGAGATTGACTGGTTTACTAGGAGAGGCTTATTTAACAGTAAACCATAACAATAATAAGAACAAAAGCAGAACAGCTGCATTATTTTAAACTAAAAAGAGAGAGAGGTCAAACATAACATATCAAAAGGGTTGTTCACACCAAAGGGCAATGTGTTTGACTTGATTTCAAGTGAGGTTTCTTGGGAAGACCATTCTAAAGCCTATCTATCTATCTGTCTATCTATCTATTTGGAGTATTTATACCTCATCTTCAGCTACAAACATTCTCAAATCATCTTAAAAACTGTTAATTTGACAGTCGCCTGTCCTCAGTCTAAATAATACATAACACACAAGTAAAAGGGAATGGTGTCCAGTTGGGCTTAGGCATAATGGAACTGTGCCTGCCTCTTCTTTTCTCCTTTCATGGAACTATGGCCCAAAAGTTTATCACCTCTGACAATAAGCATAGGAAATCAAAGGAGGATTTCTGCACTGCAAAAACAATAACAACAACAACTTCATTGAATGCTATTCTCAAAGATGCATGTCATTTCCAACACTGTCTAAATCTGATGAACTGAAGTGCTAACACTTAATGGAACGTGTGCCCTGATCATTGCCATTGTGTGGCTTTCATTCAGTTCCATGGGGTATGTGAACTGGTAACCCATAAAAGCAAAATTGATAACTAGTAACAGACATAGTTTTCTGACTACTCTTTCCTCTCTAAATGTGCCACTAATGGACTTGTGCATTTTGAAAGTACTTGGTTTATTTGGCTGTACCTGCTCAAAATAGCTGGGACTAAAATACTTAGTCGAGACCTTAGAATTAAATCAGGAAGCTGCACAGTTCTGTTCCAAATACATCTCTCTCCAAATGGTATTTTAAGTGTTCACTCCTCAGCAATTTAATAATCTTGTTTAAAAATAAACAAGGAAAAATGCATGCATAGCATGTCCAATTTGTAATATTGTGCATTCCAATTTTTCTCCCCATCATTTTCCGTGCCCTAATTTATCAAAGCTTACAGAGAGAAAAAACATTTTTCTTTGGTGTGCAACACAAGTACTCTTCACTTCAATTCCCCACTTCCCATTTGAAATCTCACCCCTGCTGCTGTAGAGAGAAACCCAGACAATGCAGGCGATATGAACAGCTTCTTCTTGATGTGGTTATTTCTTGTCCCCATGATTCAAGAATAACCATCTGTTAGTCAGTCCTGCTGCAAAGACGCATCTTATAGACTGCTCCAGTGTTAAAGAAGTCTGATTCCAAATGTTGACAAATTGGCCATGGGAGAGACTTGTTGGAAAAGAAACAGGGTGATACCCCTGTGCTCAAAGAACAGCTTTTCTGCCACCAGAACCTTTGCATGTTTAGCAGACTGCAGTCTAACCCACTGGATATCTGCAAAGCTGCTTAACTTTAAATGTGTTTACTTAAAACCAGAATAGCAAAGCAGAACTGTTGCTTGGATTATTTATTTCAGAAGTAATCTGATTTTGTAAGGCTTCCGAAATGCTATTGACACACATTAAACCAGCACAATTGATCTGGTATTTGTTAAGTACATACATCTACCATGGCCTTAGGCCACTTGTTCTCTGCTTACAGCAGCCTGCTTATTCCTTATTCCTTTGAGGGGGGGGAGGGCAGCTGTTGAGAGATTACTCTCATTGCCTTTCCCACAAGCTACTAATACATATAAGCAGAATGGCAGTTAGTTCACAGAAGGCCCCTGAGTCAATCCCTAATATTTCCAGGAGAAAGGATTGGATAGGTGATGGGAAAGACTTCTGCTTACAATTTAGGAGAGCTACAGCTAGTCAGCGTTGTTGGTACTTCAGAGGATAGACAAAAAATCTCACCTTTATAAGGCTACTTCCTGCCTTCTACAAGAACTGTTGCAGGTGGATTGGCCAGAATATTATAGGCTGATTTCAGAGTTTCTGGCCCCAAATCTAGCCCCAGTTCCCAGCAATACCTCCACTCTCTGGAACAGTGCCTGGTAGCTGTCTACATACATGTCCCACTGTGTTGTCCAGCTCCACCACTGTTGGTGCAAGTTGTTCCCTCTGAGGTTGAAAACTTCACATGGCTGGGCACATTGTTGTGACCTCAGAGGGAGCAACTCATACTAGAGACATGTGCATACAACTGTTTGCCATTGTTCCGGAGTGCTTGGATTTTACTGGAAGAAATCTGGTTAAAGGGAAGGATGGGCCAGATTCAATGCAGAATTGGTTTCACATTGTGAAGAAAGTCCACAGTCAAATCTGGGCTTTGGCCCTGCATTGTAAAGACAGAGGACAGAGAAGGTGGGGGGACTGGTTTAAATGGCCTCTGCAGGCATGCCTTAGGGCTAGGATAGATGCATCTTTTACATATTGTCTTCAGTGCTCCTTTACCTTCTCTCCCTCTTGCACACAGATGCACACACAATGTCCTTCTATCTAACCCCTAAGTCTCTGGCTAGTCAACAATGCTACCCATTCCAACCTCCAGTTTGTGCAAGGTAGCTGCTGCTTCCTGCAAGGTGGACTGTGGCACTGAAAACCCTCAGAGCTCATCATCCTGTCCACTTTGGAGAGGAGAAAAGAAGCTTTGTTGTTCACAGTCAGCTCATCTAGCTATATACTTAACTTCCCAAGAACTGCTTGATATTTCCAGCTATCTTTGCCAAAGGAAGAAGGAGCGAATGAGCAACTCCTGCCTAGGAACTGCAGGAGACCTAGGTCTTTCACTGCAGAGCTCCGGTGAAAGTGAGAAAAGCATCAATGTTCAGGACATATCAAAAACTGCTGAATATTGGCATATGTTCAAATGTGATTTTCTTTATTTTGCCGAGGAGCACTCTGTTTGACGAAGTGGAAAATGTAAATATTGAAACTTAATGGGTGTGTAATCTCAGGACATCTTCCCAGAGCCAGTCTTCCTTGAACAAGCTCCCTCACAATTGAGACAGTGGAATGAGAGATGGAACCAACTGCCTGTCTCCCTTACTGCCAAGAGGATCTACTGCCATTGCAGTAGATGCTCTGTAGAACCTCACTTGGCCCATTCTACCTTTTCAGCCTATATGCCACAGCAGCCCTCCTCTCCCTGCTCCATCCTGGGGCTGGTGTCTGAAGAATGATAGAGAGAGTGGACACCAGCAGTTGATGATATGGCATCCAATGGTGAAAATGGAACCACATCTCCAGACTTGGATGGCGGGAGAACTTGCATTGGTTTACCTCTCTTCCAAAATATTTTGTTGCTATATGCCTTCCCTTCAGCTCTGTCTTATGACAACCCTTTTTTGGGGGGCAAGATTTCTTCAGGTTTCTTGCCATTGCTTTCATCTTAGTCTGAGAGTGTGTGATTTGCCCTCAGTCACTCAGTGGGTTTCCATGGCTGAACAGGGATTTGAACCCTGGTCTTCTGGAGCCCTAGTCCAATCTTACAATCCACTGTACCATACTGGCTGTATTCCATATTTGCAAAGCTGTCCTCACAGTTGTGAGAATATGGGGGGAATATCACTGACTTTTCAGGTTGGCAGTATCAAAGAATTTCAGGTGTGTTGATGAGGTTCCTACAAAAACGAGTCAGCTGGTGATTTCTGCTTTATAAAAGGCATTTTAATAGGACTGAAGGCATAACACTCTCCTCTCCTGCTATAGTTCTAAGAACAATTCCTCTTCTAAAATTGAGGATTCCCAATGTGGTATTCTCTATTAGCTTCAGTATTTTCTTCAGGAGGACACCAGAGAAAGAATATCTGTTTTGATCCCTTTAAATACAATTTCCCTTTTAAAAATGACTGCAGGCTATATGCATATGGGATTTTGCCTCAAAGTAATTGATGGCCGTTTTTTAGTGTTTCATCTAGATAGTGAACAGCATGAGGACTGAATGGGACATTTTGGACCTCACAGTATTAATGAACAGGAGTCAAGCAGTAATGCCTCTCTGCCCCATCTTTTAAACTTGGCTGTCAAGATAGGAATGGAACTACCACAGCGATTTTCTTCTCTTTCCTGTCTTTCTGGAGGTTGGACATGCCGACATCTGTTCTGCCTTTGGATGCAGGAGCTCAAAACAATATTTGTATTGCATCCAAATAATTCTCCCAAGGTTTTTCAGCAAAGAAGATAATACTCCTATTCTTCTTTTCCCATTTATTTTACCATGAACAATCAACAGTAATAGCCTGTTTTTTAATTGTTTCTTATTATATATCAAAAATATTCTAATTGCTATTTTTTATCCTTAATACTGCTTCATTGTTCACCCTCTTGGTGCAAGAAATCTTTAATATCCTATGATAAATCAACATTTTAAATGCTTCTATCTTTTTTTATAATTGTTGTAATTGTCTTTGTTTAAACTGACTTTTATCATTTTGCTCATTGTTTTAACTTAGATTGTATGCCTCTGGCAGGTTTTATTTTTTATTTGTTATTTGTTTTATTCTGGATTGTCTTTTGTACAGCGCTGAGTACACTGACAGCGCTCTAGAAATAAACTTTAATAATAATAATAATAATAATAGCCTTTGATAAAGTTCATGATTGTATGCCACACAGTAGAACAGAGGGTAGATATCACTGTACACTTTGCATTCTCAAAGCCAAATTATAGGTTTTTATTGCATATTGAATTACATTCTTCATCTTAAAAGAAGATACTCTATCTCTGTTCTAACTTTTATTGCATGGCTGTTTTCCTACTGTTTATTTTGACAAATTCCAAGGTTATGAACATTTGTCAACATGCTCCAATTTTCATTTTAGATTTTTAATTGCATTTATACCACAATATAGTGCCCAGATTCCCACTGCAGAATGTTTACCAAAAAGAATGCTATGATCAGTGGCCTTGAAAGCCACAGAGAGATCAGCAGGAGCATGATAGCCATGCTCCCCTATTTTTCTCACTGTGTAGGTCTTCCATTAAGGTGACCAGATCTAAGTTGCTGAAAAGTCAAAAGACTTATTAAAAATCCCATAGAAGAGTGGGAGCAGCTGCTGAGAAGCTTCTCTCTTGTGCCTTCACCAAGCAAACCTGTGATGGTGGCAGAAGAGAGAGCCTTCCCCTGATGATCTTAGACTCTGGCATGTTCATATGGGGAGATACAGTCTTTCAGATAGTCTGGACCTAAGGCTTATAGGGCTTTTGTAGTTATTGACATTGTTCAGACCAATAAGGAAACTTGATCAGGAGCATCTAGGGCAAAGGTGGGCAATGAGTAGGCCTCCAGATGTTGTTGAACTGCAAGTCACAGCATCTCTCACTATTAAGTTAAGGCTGATGAAGGACACACTTTGCTGCTGTGGAGTTTATGTAATGCTATCTTAACCATGTTGCTCTATTTAATAATAATGATAATAATAATAATAATAA